CCATTAAGAGAAGGGAAGACAAATGGAAAATTGGGGTGCTGTCTAGAAACACATTCACTTTGCTATATCTGTGTCATCCAACTTAAGAACTGCATTCACTTTAAAAAAAAAAAAAAGAAAAGAAAAAAACCCAAACCTGAACATACTCTTCAATAGCAGTCCATCTTCCTAAACACTTTTGTAAGCTGCAACACTAAAAAACAAAACCATCTACTATTTTTAACCAGTTGGTCAAAATTTAAAAAAAAAATTCATAGGCTCTGCAAAATCTTATATAACAGTACCAAAACTTCAAAACTCTATTTTGGCTGTCAGCTCAATGTGTTGAACCACCCAGGCTTTCTGAGCTCCTCTTTTGAGTGGTTGCAATCACCTATGGATATTGAGAATTACAGGAATACCAGATATGTCACTCAGAACTAAGCCTAGATGTTCACAGACCATGTGAATTTGCAGGGGTTATTGGGTCTCTGGATAAATGTTCCTGATACATTATCACTTCTGATTTAAAGCACTTTCTGTATGGGAAAACAGAGGAGGAGGCAAGTTCTCCCTGGCACCTTTCTATCGTTATTAAGAAACCAGAGAAAGAATTTGTGAAAGTACATAGTAACACTAGTACCTACAAAATGTGATTTGAGGGCATAAATGGAACCCTAAAATGACATTGCTAAAAAAACCAAACCAACCCCACCATAAAGCAACTTCATGGTTTTATAGAAATTGTATTCACTGATATCTTTGAATTCCTCTCTTTAAGTGTGGCAGAAGAAAAATTAGCAAAATGGTGTGTGGTACTAAAAGAGATAATTCTGTAATACTAGAAAAATAATCCTTTACCAGTACTAAGCCCTATTGCAGATGATCTGTAGCAAAACTGTATGAAGCTTTCATAGGACTTTTCAATCTAAAACAAAAATGGAAAATAAGTCAGTTCAGTGTAGTCCCTTTATAATGGTCTAAAAGTAATCTGCCTCCATCTCTAACACATAAAAAAAAACTTCTGAAAAATGTAACATTAAATTTTATATATTTGCTATAAAAATACAGCATCACTTCACATAATGAGTTGAAATTCTGTTATCTGGATGAATCATCATCCTCCAAAGCTGTTCCTAAGCAGCATTCTGGTTTTGGAAGTGCTTGGAAACAGGGTGCTGTAACCAAGCTGGCCTGGGCAATTGCTGCCTGGTCAGGACAAACACTTCCTTAGCACAGCTGAGCAAAGGGGAGCTTGGGCAGGAATTATGAGGATGCAGGGAGGGTTAAGCCAAGTTAAGAACTTCCAGACTGACAGAAAAAAAAAAAAAGATTATGACAAGACTGAGTCTGAGGAGATTCATTTCAAGAGAGAGGGTTCTGTGGGTGATGTTTGGTAAAGTGATAAAGACAAGGAAATATGTTTTGCAATTCCTCGCCTCTGTCACAAGTCCTCTTCTCAGCAATTCTCAGGTACACAGGGAAAAGTGAGAACAGATGCAAAGGAAGATGTAAAGTATTTCTCCTCTAAGACTTACAAGCAGATTACTACTTCCACCCTTTTTTTGTTTTGCATCCCTCAGACTTCCCAGCCCACAAAGAACCAAACATCCAGATGGAAAGATGACGTTACTTGGTATTCACTGTTAATTCTATCACCCTTAGTCACATATTTGTTTGCTTATTTTAAGAGCAATGAAGTGGTTGGTTACACACTGTCATACTCCACTGAAAAAAAAAAACACCTATGAAGATTTAAACCGTAGTTTCTGAAGTCATTGAAAAGTATCAGTGAATGAAACAAAGGGGTTTCATTTTTTTCAGTTCACTTTGACATGGCAGCAGCTTATCATACTATAATTGTGCATAAAACTAAACTAGGTCCTCCTTTAGTTTCAGTAGAAGGAAAATGTTTTAGTTTTGGTTTTTTACTTTCTTGGTTTTTTTTTTACCTATGTATTTTATCGTGTCATGTAATTTGTATTTGTTTTTCTGCTATTTGGAATAAGTCAATACGTGCAAGTCTCCTCATTTTTTTTATAATTCCCTCTTTTTCAAAGCATACCCTGGTTTCTGAGACATTGTAAAGTGTTGCCATAGCAATCTTTGAGGAGTGCTAAGCCTTTGCAGTCACAGGACAAGACAGCAGTGGGGTAATTATCAAGAAAAAATAAACCCCTTGGAGACTTTATTCAAGCCTCTGTATTATAGGACTGGGTTATTTCAGCCAAGAGGGAGGAAAAAGTGGGAGATTTCAATGCATTTGATGTGTGAACTGGAATGTAACTCTCAGGATGTGGCACGTAATGTACACATAATAAATAGGAGAAGAGGGATGGGGGACACGGCTTCTAGGAAAAGAAGATTTTGAGATCATCTGGGCTGCTTTAATGATGGTCTGCAACAAAAGGGTCAAAAACAGTAATCTGCTTGTAAGTCTAAGAGTAGGAATAGTCTGCAACCCGCCAAGGAAGTACCCTCACACAAGAAAAAGACAACCTCATTTGCTGCAGGAGCAGGAACCAATAGATCATATCCTGGCCCATTTGGGCCCCTAAACATGAAACTTTTGCAGTTAGTCTAAGTTTTGCTTATTTGTATGCAGTCTTTCTTTAATAACCAAGTTAATTCACATTGTGACAAGATCCTTTTAGTCCTTAAGTTCACAGAACTGGACTGACAATTGTTGAAACATTTAGAAGTTAAAAGGCTTTTTTATCTGCTTGTTTCCCTGCCTGCTTTCGTGTTTGGCTGCCTTTAAAATGAACGAAGTGTGGTTCAGTAATCCTTTCACTGGCATTTTAAAAGTGGCATTAACTAACAAAGTGAGACACAAATTAGAAAGGAGTGATATAAGGCAAAGCATGCAAAGCTGGTTGTGAAGCAGTCACATGCTGCCTGCCAACCCTGACAAATTTTTAGCAGTGTCTAGCTGTCTCAGGTGCTGCTTTAGGCTTAACTTGCAGCAGTATTATGCAAAGCCTTTTTTTGACAAGCTCTGTCAGATTCTGCCCGTTGGAAGCTCAAAGCAAAGGAAGCCCATTCAGCACTCAGAAGTCCTTTTCTCCTCATAATAAAAACTGGTAAGTGATGCAGATAGTCTTCTCTTTGCTGCTGGCTTACACTAGAACACGTGTCAGAATTACTGTAGGAAAGAACAGCTGAAATCATGTTTGCATTAAGGGCCTGAAAAAGGATTTATTGCTTTATTATTCATCTGGTGAGTGAAGTGGCATCCAAAAGTTAACCAACAAAACAGCCTGGTTATTCTGACTACAGTCATTGCCCTTAATTTCTGTAATATTTTATCACTGTTCCAGATTCTTAAGTTGGGGACCCCTGAGTAAGACAAGCCGGATCCTGCTTGCTGTGGGTAACACAGTGGTGCTGTGAGAGGTTTGTGTTTTGTCAAATGGTGCTATTTCTTCAGTGAATATGAATGCAAATGAAGAACATTGATTTGAGCAGCATTCATGTAGACAGGACCATTCTGACCCAGAAAATACTCCTTCTCTACCTCAACAATCAGCCAATCTCCTGCCCCCAAATTCTGCCCCACTACAGTTTGTGATGTAGGTGTGCTGCTATTTTCAAGGAAACAAACCACTGACCTTCTTTGGTCTTATTTACGGATGCTCAATTTCTTCTAATCCCTTTGGATATCTCTCAACGGCACCATATGACCTGGTAAGGGAAAAGAGCCTGTGTTTTTCCACCAACTCACATTGAAATAGTCCTGATCACAGACAGTGGGGAAACAGAGAGGGTGAAAATGGTGATAGTGGGTTGTAAAGGACCCCAGGAATGAAAGCAGGCTGGGATAAAGGATAACTCCCAAATACCTTAGATATAATGCTTTAAACACACTTTAGATATAACACCCAGGTTGCTATACGATCCTGTCACAGTACTACAACTACGCCAAGTTGACTTGATGATCTTAAAGATCTTTTCCAATCTTAATAATTCTGTGATTTACTGAGGATGGTGAGGCACTGGAACAGTTTGCCCAGAGAAGTTGCGGATGCCCAATTCCTAGAACTGTTCAAGGCCAGGTTGGATGAGGCTCAGAGCAACCTGGTCTAGTGGAAGGTGTCCCTCCCCATGGCAGGGGTTGGAACGAGATGATCTTTAGGGTCCCTTCCAACCCAAACCATCTGTGATTGTATATTCCATGATTTTTTACTCAGGAAGTGAGAAATCAAATTGCTATATCTCCTTTATGCTACCATATTGTTAACTCCTATTACAGACTTTAAAAAAGTTTGTGTAATGGGTTTAAAATAATTTCTGAAACATCTTGAGTTTGGGGGGAGTTGGAGTAGGGGGTGTTCTGTCACCTCATGGGGGCTGTGGGGAGAAGGGGGTGTCTTGTCACCGCACAGGCTGTGGGGACACACAGACTTCTCCTGTCTGCTCAGCACTAGTGAGGCCACACCGGCAGTGGTGTGAGCAGTTCTGGGCTCCTCAGGACAAGACAAGGAGCTACTGGAGAGAGTTTAGCAGAGGCCACAAAGATGATGAGAGGTCTGGAGCATCTCTCTTATGAGGAGAGACTTCAAGAGCTGGGCCTCTTTAGACTAGAGGAGACTGAGAGGGAGTCTCATTAATGCACATAAATATCCCAAAGGCGAGTGCCAAGAGGACGGTGCCAGACTCTGGTGGTGCTCAGCGACAGGACGAGGAGCAATGGCCTTAAACTAAAAAATAAGAAGTTTCACCTCAACACGAGGAAGAACTTTACGTTGAGGGTGGCAGAGCCCTGGAACAGCTGCCCAGGGGGGTTGTGGAGTCTCCGTCTCTGGAGACATTCCAAACCCACCTGGACGCGTTCCTGTGTCCCCTGCTCCAGGTGACCCTGCCTTGGCAGGGAGTTGGACTGCGTGATCTCCAGAGGTCCCTTCCAACCCTGACAATTCTGTGAGGAGAGGGCGTCCGGCCGCCTCCCGGGGACCGCGGGGCGAACCAGGGGGAGCCGCCACCCCTCAGGAGCGGCCGCCGCGGAGCGGCTCCGCCACCGCCCTCGGGGCGGCCGCTGGGGCGGGGCGGGAGCGGCGTTGCCGCCCTCCCTCCATCCCTCCCCGTGCCCGCTCCTCGTCGCCGTCCCGCGGAGCCTTCTGCCCTCCTGCAGCCGCCCGGGATGGTTGTGAGGAGCGGCGGTCGGGAGCCGCGGGCTGCGCTGGGGCGGCGGCACATGGCGGGCGGGCGCTGAGGGGGCGCGTCCCGGTGCGGGCTCCCGCCCGCCGGCAGCGGGGCTGGGGACTGTGCCGGCGGCCTGGGAAGGGGGAAGAGTGAGGGGTCGAACCCCGGTCCCGGGGATGGCGGAGACACTGAGCCCCTGCAGCCCACGGGGCCAGTGCCAGCCCGGCATGGGCGCCAACGCCTCGTCCGCCAACATGGACACCAACGCCTCCTCCTCGGCCGCCCCCGCGCTGATGGGCGGCAGCGCGTGGAGGGGCCGGGAGCCCTTCTCCATCTTCACCGTCCTCGTCCTGACCCTGCTGGTGCTCCTCACCGTGGCCACCTTCCTCTGGAACCTGCTGGTGCTGGCGACCATCCTGCGAGTGAAGGCCTTCCACCGGGTGCCCCACAACCTCGTGGCCTCCACGGCGGTGTCGGACGCGCTGGTGGCGGCGCTGGTGATGCCGCTGAGCCTGGTGAAGGAGCTTTCGGCCGGGCGGCGGTGGCGGCTGGGCCGGGAGCTGTGCCTCGTGTGGGTCAGCTTCGACGTGCTGTGCTGCACCGCCAGCATCTGGAACGTGACGGCCATCGCCCTGGACCGCTACTGGTCCATCACCCGCCACCTGCAGTACACGCTGCTCACCCGCCGCCGCATCTCCAACGTGATGATCGCGCTCACCTGGGTGCTCTCCGCCGCCATCTCCCTCGCCCCCCTCTTCGGCTGGGGCGAGACCTACAGCCCTGAGCAGGAGCGCTGCCAGGTCAGCCAGGACCCCTCCTACACCATCGTCTCCACCGGCGGGGCTTTCTACCTGCCCCTCTGCGTGGTGCTGTTCGTCTACTGGAAGATCTACAAGGCGTCCAAGTTCCATATGGGGGGCCGCAGGAGGAACGCCGTGGTGCCCCTGCCCGAGGCTGCCCAGGTAAGGGTGGGGATGGGGAGGAAAGCCCCTGCTCTCTCCCCCAGGCATCCGTGATCCTCCGTCTCATCTGCTCCCAGCCGTCACTCCTGCGCTGGTGGTTTCGGCACAGTGAGAAGGCTGCCAGGTGTCCTGGGGGTCCCGCGGGAGTTTAACTCTTTTACAGACTGGACACTGTTACAGACTGGACGTAGCAGTAATTAGTCAGTCAAAAAGCACCACTCTTGGAGAAGAGCTTTATTCTCATTGTTTCCTTGTGTGTCCTCAGAGTGAGAAACAGGTGCATTTACTGCCAGTCGGGAGAGCCATTTAAGAATATTCTCTTTGTTCTGAATTTGCCGTTCTTTGGGGTTTTTTTCCTCTTTATTTCTTTTTACAGTGTTAGTGGGGTAAACAAAGACATAAACAGACATAAACAGATCCCTAAGTCTGGTAAGTAAGAGTAAATGCATGCATATTTTATCTACCAACACAGACTTTGTATCAGTATCTCAATACATGTCTCAATACATTTTAATAAGCAAATTATGCACTTCATTGATGTGCTTGGGCTATTTTTCCTTGAATACTGCTCACTACATAGTGTTAAAGCAATGAGCAATTAATTGTTTCTGGTTTAAAATAACCTCCTGTATTAAAAAACATATCCTTCTTCTTATCCCAGAGATTGTCTGTAATCTCGCAGTGCCTTAGTGGCACTTAGTGTGGGAGTCTCATTCATTTTGAGGACACACCTTGCTGACAGGAAAGCTGTGTCCCTTCAGAAGGGTTGGGGTTGGCTCCTTGTGTCCCGTAAGTCAGGCTCTCTGCATGATGATGCTGTCAACCATGCCATGGCACCAAAGTGCTTGGCAATACTCTCTATAAATTCTCCCTGCTTTCTGTCATATATTCTTACTCTCACTCCTGCCTGTGGAAAAGATTCTTTATGTTTTTGTGGTTTCCTGTTGTACTTGCTAAGTCCAGCCCTTTCCCAATAGCAAAAGATGACCTGTATGGATGTCAGAGATATCTAAAGAGGCATGGAACATTTCTGTTCAATTTGGGCTAATCCTGCAGGGCCTCACTCCTCTAAGTTTGATTTCAAGTCCTGGTAGGAAACACGTTATTATGGTCACAAATAGAAGTCTGTAGGTTGTGTCTCCAGATTCTTGCAAGAGATAACAGCACTGGTAATTATATGTGATTAGACTTGCAGATTTGGATTGTAATGTCTTGGAGATATTTTTAATATATATTGGTTAATTAAGGTGTCTTCTGTGCAAAAACATAAAATGTGTTAGAAAACTTGAGAATGTCTCCTCTAGTGGCATTCTTTTTTTTTCCCACGATCTTCACCCCCTAGTTTGCACCAAATTTCTGTCCAAATTGTTATAAGTATGAGGAATGTATTGCTTAGAGTTAATGTATAATCTTGACAATTGCAAAAGCCAGCTGATCAGTTGTAGTGGTTCTGCATGCTGTGTCTTTTACATACACACATACTCACACAGGACTACTTGTTTGGCATCTAAAATTCTGGGAAGCTAAATGAACTGAGGCGTTGCTGCTTGAGCCGATCTAGAGACATGGTGGTATCTCAGTTTTGGCAGAAAAAAGTCTGGCTCCTGCTTGTCATAGTTGTGTCTGCAGAAGCCCTAGCGTGAGCCCAGCATGGGTGGCAGGTGAGTGCTTTTTGCTGATGCAGTGTCTGGGAGCTGGTTTAGGCTGTACTGACAGAAGAGCTCTGTCAGTGTGAGCTGACTCCCCATTTTGGAAGGGTTGCCAGCTGTTTACTCCTCACCTAAAGGCAGGGCTGATGCCCAGGTGTACACGTACTCATGTAATGAACCCATGGATCAGGGGAGCTGGCATTCAGGATGCATTTCTTCTCAGTTTTCTTTCTAAGAGACTGAGACTTATTCGCTGAGTTTCATCCTGATCTTATTTAAGCTTATAAGCAGGATCCATCACATCCACAGGAAGAGTAGCAGTTTCCCAGTGAATTCTGGAGGGGAATCTTCAAACACAACATGAATGTTCTTTGGCAAAACCCTTTTTTTTGTTTTAACCTGCAAACACAAGAATAACATTGCCAGGATATGTGGCAAACCTGGGGAGGTGATCCAGCATTGCTTTTCCACATGCAGAGGTGATCAAGCTGTCAGCATCAGCTCTGTCCTTCTCTCTGAGGGGGCAAATTCTGTTCCATATCTCTTGGTTTGCCCATCAGCTCACCCTAATTTACCATTTCTTTCTCCCTTAATGCCTCTCCTCCCTCTGCTTTCTTTCATCCCTTCCCTCTCTGAGAATGCTCACCTGTCATGCTCTCCCTGGCAACGTTTTCCTTCTATCACCCTTACTCTGGATGTGGATTGCCCTCCGCATGTATGTCAGTTCTCACGTCAGGTGCCCTGCACTATCCGAGGAACATTAGAGCGGTTTTTGGCAGAAGATGCCAAAGGCTGGAAGTGCTTCCCGGTCTGGAGGTGAGCAATAACAGCAGCAGTAACAGATCCCTGCTGGGAGAGACGTCAGTGTTGCACTCAGGAATTGGCTGTCAGGTAGCGCTGGATTGGAACTGTGCCCCATGGCTGAGGTATAACCAGCTGGTTAATTCTGGCAAGTTTAAGGAGGAAAAGGTTTGAGTTCATAGTGCTGATGGGCCAGTAGAGATGCCTTGAAGAAACAAATGCACCAAGTAGAACAGTGATGGTGATATATATATATATATATATGTGTGGGTGTGTATGTATATGTATATTTATAGTTACCAAGTAACTATTTTAAGTAACTTTTTCGTTAAAATCATACTTGTGTTTTTGAAAAATGGTTTTTATAACCTTCCAAAAAATCCAGGTGAGGGATATGGACATGAAACATCTAGGGTGCTTCTAATTTTAATGAGAGCTTGTTTCTTGCCTTCCCTTGAAACAAAAAAAAATTGCAGAATTGGGATCCTAAATTAAGCTGAGGCTCTTATAATTGTTTGCTTGCTAGTTATGAAACTCCTTAAAAAGTGAATTCTGCAGGCAATATTGATGTGGGTGATCCTTGTAAAAAACCTAGTGACATACCATCACTGACAGAGAACTATGCTCTGTCACACCTTCTTGACAGCAGGTAATAATTTTCTCTCTAAAGAGTCCAGTTGAAATAAATGAAACTGCTTGAAAAGCAGCAGGTACTGCTGGATAATGCCCTTTTAAATCAATGAAGTCCCTTGTAGCATAGGCTTTGCCCAGGAAAACCATGGATGATGGAATCTGAATGTCTGGATTACTTACAAGTAGCAATTGCAGAGTCAGGATTAAATTTCTATGTGAGGAGTTAAAAATAAAGTTCCATTGATGGTTGGGTGTTTTTTAGTTGTTGTTTTGTTTTTTTCCTTTTTCCCTCTTGAAGTACTTGTATAAAAAATGAGGCACGATCCAAACCTTACTGTTCTGTGAGAGTCCTTCCCACTTTACACAGTATCAGGCCCAGAGCTCCAGCAGTGCAATGTTATTCTTCACCTTGGCCCCCTCCAACTCACAATGTGGGAGAGAAAACAGATTTTCCTTCTCTGAAGGGGTCACAGGCCTTCCATTTCTTATTTCTGCTTCTGACTGTACAAATAGAAAAGATGGGTCAGGAAATGAAGTTCAATTGTCTGGAAGAGTGGCAGCAAATGTCAGATAGAAGCAAGGTGAGGCAGGAAGCAAAGTGGAGTAGCTAGTGGTTTCCTGGCAGAAATACAGTTATTCCTGCTTGCAGCAAAAGAAAATCCTGTGAGAGAAAGCAGGTGTTTTTCTCCCTATCAAATGAACTGTTTGTCTTATTGGTGGAGCATCCAAGAAAGTGTAGATGTTCCTATATTTTGATCCTTTCCTGTGCATTTCAATTTCTTGTGTTCTTGTTCAAAGAGCGAGAAGTGCCAAAGCTGCACTGAGGTAATAATGACCTTTGCTGAATCACACTGAATTTGTGGTAGTAAGCCAGATTTGATTGAAGTTTATCTTTACTGTTGTTTTGTTATTGCAGACCTTGGAGGTGCAGGACAAACACACAGATTACCTGCCACGAAGGACCAGTAATAGCAATCATTAAAGCTATAAGAAACATTTTAAATCAAGGGATTTTGTCAGAAGCTCCTTGGTAACATGTTTTCTATGACACTGCTAGGAACATAGGAATTGGGAACATACAGCTCTTGGAACATGTAGCCATTTAGTAGTAGTGATTCACTGGGGACAGACAAACAAGTGAAGGGGCATTGAACTGTAACTGCTGATCAATGTACAGAAGAATAAATTCTGAAACTAAAACCAAACTCCTTTGTGTCTGTAGAAGAATTTGTACTTGAGATCTCATTTCCTTCATTTACTCTATTATTCTCCCTGGAAAGCAGTCATCTCTGTACTTCTCAGAGCCTGTTGTCCTGGAAATAACAGATTTCATGAATGCAGAGCCTAATTCTGGCCTCAGAGTAGCAGTCCCTTCATACCAGCTATTTCCCCACTGCTCCTGACTCGTAGATCCTGGAGCAGTGCCTGGGCAGATGGAAGGAAGTCAGTGCCCAAGGCATAGTGTGCTGCTGAACACTGAGTGAGAACAGTGTTCAACAGCGCAGAGATGTTCCCAGATGAGAGGTGTCCCTGCTATAACCCAAGCATCTCCATGGACTGCTTTAATTTACAGCCTGTGACCACCTTTTCCACTGCCACAGCCTGCTCATCAGCAGGCCTGAAATGAGCTTGTCCCTCATTTCATGTGGTGCAGGGATAATGGTCAGGTATTGTGGCTTATGTTAGAAATTGGAGTCATGCAAAGCCTCCAGGATTGGCACTGAGAGCTGCAGATGTGGTATAGCCAGAGCTGTGTTTAGTTCAAGTAAATCACAACTGGCAGGGCTGGAAAGCAGCCACGTAATCTTTTGACCAGTGCTCTTGTTCAGACAAAGCCAAATTAAGGTGGATTACCCTGTGCCTGCATAGGGGAGGGAATCCTTCAGCACAGCTCCCCTGCCAGCACTGTGCACCCCAACAGGGCTTGCCTGCAGCAGGCTAATTGACCTTCCTTGGACTTTGCATGGGTTGCCTTGTAGAAAATATCTGTAACAACGTGGTCTTGGGGGCTGATAGCAGTAGTAAAGATAATCTTTACACCAACCAGGCCAGTGAGATGAATCAGGTCTGCAGCAAATCATATAGAGAGCAATAAAAATAAAATTAAAAAAAAAAATGAAGTGATAATGAAAGGTTGGACTTCCCCAGCTTTGCATTCTGCACCAATACATATTTTCTGATGTGAATGGCACTTCTGATTAAATCTGTGTTTAACCTTAAAAGCCTGTTGGGCTCACTCCCTGAGGAACAAGCCCCCATAGGAGAGTTGAGGTGCTGGAGGTCCTGCAGGAGGTGTGGATGGTGACTGGGCAGGGAGGGAGCACTGGTGCCTTTCCAGGGCATTGAGCACAGGAGTGCTGAGCACAGGGCCTCGCTAGAAACCCTCTGTAAATTTGGGGCCCCTTTGCGGTGGTACAAGCCAGGAGCACCTTGGCCATGTCTGCCAAGAGCAGCGCTCCTGCTGGGGGCTGGCCCTTGGAGCAGTGCCCTGTGCTGGGAACGCCTGGGAGGCAGGTGTGGTGGAGGCTTCTACACAGCTCCCAGCTTGTCTGTTGAAGGCACAGACTGAAAGACCTCGCTGACCAAGAATACTAGTTAACCTTTTCAAGAACATTTTGTGTATCCTTTTCAAAGGATTTCTTATGGAGAATTGAAGCAAAATATCTCCAGTGTGCCACACAGTTACTTAATGGAAGGTTCCATGAGAGATGCCATTATTTTTCTTAAAGGACCTGACTACTATTTTCTCTCTTATGGGTATTATTGCTGTTAATACAACTTTGTTCAGAAGTCTCAGGCAAAACTAGTCAAAAAACAAACGGAAAAAGAGCTGTGACAACAGAGAAAGTAGAAATTACTTAGGAAGATAACTGCTGTCCTGTAATTTATAAAACATATCATGATCTATTTTCACTTGCTGTTTAGTATTCAGAGGCTGGATCGAACAACCAGTGAAGTTTGTAAAAGCTCCTTTGACTTCAGTAGGAACTTGACCAGGCAGTAAATGGGGAAAACATTAGGGAAAACACCTGAGGACTGTGATATTTTCTATCAAAGTAAATAATTTTTTCTTAAGATATGTAATTAAGTGATAAAAGGGTTGCTGCTACTAAATTCTGCAATTGAGTCATAAACCTTTTAAAACCTGAAGTAGCAAAAAGGCTCTGATTTGATGGTGGCACACTGCAAGCTCTATCTTTTGAGCAAGAGTTGAAGGTTAAGCATAGTACCAAACTGTACCCAACACTATTGACAAAGTCCTTTGTATGGCTCTTCCCAAGAGGCACACCTATGTAACTATTCCTCAGGGCTGAGACGTAATCTTTCAGGGTTGCTTGTCACAAATTTGTCCTCGTGTCATACATTCATCCCCTTTTGCAGAGTGTGATTAAGGATGTGCAGAGCAAATCCTTCTGCAGACAAATGGTGTGATCCTTGCTACATGAGGGGTGTCCCATTTTAATTGTCAGAACAGATGTGATTTTCATTTTCCTCCATTATTTGCCTGCACCCATAATCTGCTGCTCTTACATTCTGCAGTCATGTCTCGTGCCTGGGGGTGCAGACAGGGATATCCATCTTGAAGAGTGATTGTTTAGCCATTGCCAGTGCTTCCCTCTCTGAGTTGCCATGTTCATATTAAGTAGAGGCCCTCCATCTGTTATAAAGCTTGCACAAAGGTGGCACATGCGTGTGGAATATGTAGCTAATTTAACAACAAGCCACCCTTGGAGTGATGTCAAAGTCTTGCAGTGCCTGGGGATTATCAATTAGGCAAATTTTAGAGCCTCATCCTTAAACTGTTTCTTTTATGGCACTGTCCTCATAACTGTAGTGCCTAGAAAAACTTTAATATTGCAGATACTTTAATCTTCAGATTAAAATCACAGAGGAGTATCTTTTTCTGGTCAGACTCTAAGCACATTAATAACTTGTGCCCAGAACCTGTTTGCCACAGTCTCAGTGCATAGATGACTCTCCCATAGAGAGACAAGCAGACAAGAAGTGCTGTCAGCAACCTGGAGTAGCTGAAATGTACTCCTCTCTTGTGGAACTTCTGCTGAAGCCAGAGTTTGAACTGAAGGCCAGCTGAAATGGTGCTTTTCTGGCAGTGGAGTATTTTTTGAGAGAATACAGAATCACAGAACGGTTGGGGTTGGAATGGACCTCTGGAGATCATGTAGTCCAACCCTTCTGCTACAGCAGTTCATCTAGACCAGGTCTAAAGGACTCCGAAGGTCATGTACAGCATGAGTCTAGTGTAGGGATAGGCAGAAGGTGCATGCCTTTGTTAGCCTGCCTTAACAACCTGATTTCCCACTAGGTATCAAGGCATCCAATAAATGAACTGAAAAAGAATCCCACAACACACATGGCATCAGTTACTTTTTATTTAGCTCCATTTGTCAGTCACACTTGGCAGCTTTTCCAACATAATGAGAAGTCTGGTTACTTTGGCACTCAGGGGCATTTTCTTTCTTTTAACATGGAAGGAATGAAGTTGAGGCCTTTTGTGGTAGGTGCACAGATGTTGTGCTGTCACTTAGTAATAATACTTCACTCAAACAAACTGTCTTGGTAAGAAACTGTGTTTGCTTTTGTTTTGAGGTGAAGGAAGCTTCGCATGAACCACAGATGGTGTTTACAGCTCGTCATGCAGCTATCACTTTCCAGACAGATGGAGAAACATGGAGAGAACAGAAAGAGAAAAAGGCAGCTCTGATGGTTGGCATCTTAATTGGAGTTTTTGTACTGTGCTGGATCCCTTTCTTCGTCACAGAATTAATAAGTCCCCTCTGTTCCTGCAACATCCCACCGGTCTGGAAAAGCATCTTTCTTTGGCTTGGCTACTCAAATTCTTTCTTTAATCCTCTAATTTATACAGCATTTAACAAAAATTACAACAATGCCTTCAAGAACCTTTTTGTAAAGCAGAGATAAAAGGGGACACAGAGGAGAAAATCATTCTCTGTTGCATAATGTAGAGATTTCTGGAGGGAAACATGCCTGTGATATGTACAGGTTTCATGCACTAGAGCTACTCAAGGGGATTCAGGAACAATGAGAAAGAAGGTGGAAGATGTTTGGATATAAACCAACTGACAGTTTACAGTTCCTCCTTGGAAATACATATGTGCTGCTCCAGGGTTTGGCAGAGAAGATGGAAGCAGTGAATACCTCCCGTCTGCTCTTGGAATCAACATGTGCTGAGGTCTAAAGCGAAGCACTGTGTGTGTCTGATACCATGACTGTCAAACCCAACACATCTGATCTCATCCAACCTACACGTGCCATCCTGGAGCTCTCTCATCATTAGCAAAGGCAACAGTGGGAGCTGCTAATTGAGCAATACCAAAATGTTTGTGACAGGGGCAGGATGCTGCTTCATTTCTGAGATTTTTTTGGAAGGGAATAAACATGATGTATTCAATCAGTCGTTGAGTTGATGTGAAATTAAAATGGATGATTAAGCAGCTCAGAAACATGCCCTGATGATTGAGGGGCTGCGTGTGCTCTAGTAAGCAGTGCTTGATGGGCTGGCTTGGCTGTGTCCCCTGGAGTCCCCTGGGAGTGAAATTTTAGAGCCAAATGTAAAATTATTCAGAGCTCCCAAGGACATGCTCTCACTCCTTGCACAGCAGGCGGATCTAGCCTGGAGTTTTCACCTGTGTTGCACCCTTACTCTGCAGGGCTCAGGCTCTCCCTGTTTTATGAAACCCAGGTGAGCTCAAGATAGACCCCCAATACCTCCAAGTGAATGGGGACTAGATGCATTATTGTTTCATGCTACCATATAAGTGAGCGTGTCTGTGTTACAAACACCAAACATGCTGTTCAGTCACCAGGTTTGCTGGCAGCAGCGTGTGGCTGCTTGGCAGTGGTAGGTGAGTGTCTGCACCGTGTCTTGCACCGTAAGTCTGCTCATCACCCTCCCTGATTGAAGTCCACAATTTGTCAGCTTGCATCAACTACCTCCTGCTATAAGAAAGGTGTTGATGCCATCAGGTGTGACTCCCCAGACCCCAAAGTGACTCAAAACCAAGCCTTAAATTGTTATTCCAAGGTCCGACAAACACTCCTGTCCACCAATATATACATAAATAAATGAAGTATTTCCTTGCATACTGCAAAATCTATCTCACTCCATATTGTTCCTCTAGTGGGTTTCACTTCCTCCCCTGCCCCGAGGGGGAGAGCTGAGAGCATCTCTGAGTATTTCTTGCATGGCAGCTTTTTACTGATGGAGAGTCCTGGCACCCTCTTCCATCTCCTCCTAAAGCTTCCTTAAGTACTGTAAGGGCAAATCATCATAGCTCTTATGGAGCTGGGCAACATCACAGCTCCTTCAGAAGCTGAGGTTTAACCTTTCACACTGCCCTTCTCTGCCAGTCTTGTATTTTCTGCTGCTTAAGAAACCCTTTGGTTCAAAGCATGCCCTCGGGCAAACACAAACTGCACAGGGTGACTAAAAGTCAGGAATTTCAGCTCCAGCAACCTGCACCACTGGCATCTCCATCTCACTGCAGCACATCACACTCAGCCTCATCTCTGACAGGTACCGACCCAATGGGCATCGACACCGGTGCTGAGCATGAAACTCCTACCAAAGCCTTGGTATCCTGGCAGTCTCTCCAGGCAATGGCAGCCAGGTGTGTTTCCATAGCCAGGGACTGACGTCCTGGGCAGCCACGTCAGCGAGGTATTATCGAGTACCTCGTGTGTTCTGAAAAATAAAAGAATGATGCAGCCTTTACTTCCTTAGATTTAAAGCAGAGTCAAACTTTAAAGAGTTAACTTTAAAGGTAATCTAGTGCATCTTAAAGTGATTCATGTACCTGGTGATGTCAAATTGAGCTTAGTGTCAGGTATACTGGCAACTTAGACCCAGGCATGTTCCTGCTCTTTTCTAAACAAGTGATTTAAATAAATGCCATCAAAGCACATGTTCCTCCAGCTCCTGAAGTGAGCCTGGCTGTATCTCAGGAGCACAGTGTGTGGTGAGGTCAGGCACTGCTGTACTTCACAGCTGCAGTGCTGTGACAGTGTGACCTGCTGTGCCTGTAGCCACAGCCACCTGTGTGTCTTATGCTCCTGCAGATGGTGCTTCTCCTCTCAATTTCAGTGGAAATTCAGAAATTTTAATAACCTAGAATTTCAGAGTTGTTAGATAGTGGCTCAGACTTAAATGCCAATTTAAATAACTTTCCCTTGTGACTCTCAACTTGCCTTGCATATGGAATAGCTACCATTTAAACTACTGCTTGGAGGCTTAATTAAACCAGAAGGAAGACACATATGTAAGAGACTGAAAGTTACTAAAACCCACAGGCCTCATTCAGAACCATTCACAAATTTTTCAAGTCAATTGAATTTTTCATGTGAAAGAAAAATTTTAAAATCCAAACAGATGACATGGAAAGAAGAAATGAAGAGGTCATCTTGAGCTGGTGTTAAAAAGCATACAAATCTCATAATAGCACTTTTGCCAAATTTTAGTGCCTGTACCCCCTGTGCCTGGTAAGACAAGCCATTACTATCGCAAAAATCCAATGCCAACCCTGCTGCACTGAAGTTAAGGCCCATCACAGTGTGTGGCTGCAGCAGCAGCAGTGATACTCACGTTCCAACTGTCTGTGCCAGCTGACCGGAGCAACACCTGGCTCCAGTTCTGGCACAGGAGCCCTTCCAAGAAACAACAGGTTGTGAAGGTACATTTTACCATGGCTTGGCAGCTGGAACTTGGGAGAACACCACAGAGCTGTGAGGTCACTGTGCAGGTCAGTGCAGCTGCACAGCTGCACAGGTATTTGCTGCAGACAGAGATGCAGCAGGGTGCCCTCAGCGAGTGGCAGAGCTGGGAGCAGGGCACTGACGCAGCACAACACAGCTCTCCGCCTCCTCAAGGATGAATTTAGCTTCCTTAGGAGGCGAGTCGGAGCCTCTGCAATTTTGCTGTGAGAAGTTCTGAAGATAATTAGCTGGTGCTCTGCCCGCCCAGGCATCTGTGACAGCAGCGAGCGCTACAGTGACAGCAACCAGCCGGCTTTGAATGCACCCAGAGGCGCCGAGGAGCAAGCGGGGCTTTCACTTCATTACAGTGGCTTTAGAAAGCTCTGAACAAAATCGACTTCCCACACTGGCACTGGCTCTAGATGCAGACTGCATTTAGGAGAGCAGCAGCACATGTTCAGGGTTTAAAATCCTGGGGTTTTAATGGCATGGAATCTAAGCTTAGTGCAGGGAAAAGAAATACGTTATCTGGAGGTATGGCCTAACCTGCTGGGTGCTGCTTCCCACCCAAAGTCCAAAAAGGTGTTCCCATCCCCTGGCCTCCTGCACAGCAGGCCCAGAGCTTTACCCTCCCATTTGCGTACCAAACCCAGTGACCTGGTACAACAGGAGACTAACTGCTGGATAGTCATCAACCCTGATTAAAAAAATTTGGAACTGTGGATAATGTTCTACGTCCCTTGGTACTTTTATTTCTGCAATTAATTACTCTCATTATTAAATCTTGCAACTTTATTTTAATTGAAAAAAGAGTAAAATCAAGCGTGCAAAGGATTCCTCTTTTTGGCACTTAAGCATTAGGGTTTAGATCTGACATTATTGCTGTGCAGTTATCCTTGGCATCAGGATGGACCAAAGAAAATATTGAAAATACTACTCCCATATGAACTGAGATAAATGACACAGTATCTTGACTATCCAAATAGAAAAAAAAAAAGCAGTTATTATAAAGGAGCAACATTTTGCAGAGCTTAGACATATGGTAATTTATTTCCCCAAATAGAAGCTGCCAATTTGGAGTACAGCAATCATCTCTGCTTGCACACAGTGGACTACTGGTTTTAAACTTTATTCCCTGACACTGAATGTGCTCCTAGAAAACCCCACTGGAGCCCATTGCTCAGCAGAAGGGCATTGCTGCCTCCTGCAGCAAGGCTCTGAGAACCCTGCAGCAGCTGTATTGAAACGAAGGCCTAAGTTTGTTGTGCTGTTGGAGTCCAGACTGTGCAGAAATGAAAAGGCTTTGGAACATGAACGTGAACAGAAAATGCTAATAACCCTCTATGCTCCTGTCTCCAGGAAACCTACATCCATGCTCCAGCCTCCACAACAGAAGCTCTTCGGTAATTCATTGCTGTACCCAGGAGTTGCTGATCTTCCAGCCATTCTCCAGCCTCTGCGCCGGAGTTCACACCGGCTGCAGCCAGGGCTGTGCAGGCACTGCACAAATAAACAGGCTGCAGTTCATACATTTGTAAGATAAGAACTATCCTCAGAGTATGTCACCCACCACCCAAACGAGCAGGATTTGTGTATGGCCCTGTCATGTGTCCCACTTACAAGCCCAATTTAGCAAAGCTGCTCTAAGGGGGTGGGTGCCCTAGCCAAGCACAGCTCTCCAGCTGCCTGTTTTGCATGAGTGGCAGCAGCTACACAGAGGGGGACACACCCTTTCTCTCATGCAAGTAATTTTATGTTTCTAAAGAACTTTCAGCAAAGTCTATGTCCTGTGTGGCTGGGTGTGCCCATAGTGCCTCTGGAGAGTAAAGAGTGCATCGTGCCAATTTGCCACAGAGTAGAATGCTTTTGGTGTCATACATTTCCTCCCCATCAAACACTGGTTGACTGAGGAACCTACACACTAAGGTCATGCTTCAATATGCAGATTTTGTCATAAAATAAAGAGGAACAAGGGAAGAACCCTTATAGAAAATACTGGTTACATTTAAAGTTGCCTTCAGAGATTTTCTTTATTGACGTGAGAGGTGACTAGGTGCAGTACTCCATTCATTGTGATATACTGTAACAAAAAGATTGTCTGGATTTTGTCAACTGTGTGTCACTGATTCCACTCTCAAAAGATGCTTTACAAGTGCACTTGAGGAACTGCATTTAAAGAGAGCTGTCACCATCTAAGGTAAGTGTATGCCTGAATTTCAGAGACTGTCTCAGCTTCTGAAACAAAGGGCAGACTGACTTTCCAGCAGTTTATTCATCAGTATATCAAACTAATTACATTTATTGAAATGCAAATTAAAGCTCTGAACTGGCTCTAGCAAATAAAAAAAAAGGAAGTTTTGCTACAAGTCCTGTAAATGTTACTTTACAAGCCTGGTGACACCAAATGAATTCAGGGCACAACCTTCCTCTTTAAACAAAGAAATTCTGAGAAACTCTTACTCCTCCCTTGAAACCAGCTGAGATGGAGAATTAAGACATTCTCCTTGCTATTGGTTCCTCCCCTGGTATCAGAGGAAATGGCACTCAACACATACAGCCTGTGTCAGAAGGCAAGGATCTATCCTCTTTTCATACCTCTCCAGCCTTTTTCTTCTCATTTTCACAAGAGTCTTTAGGCAAAGATAAGTGTCCATCTGCCCTGGGTTCCATCTGTTTTAGAATCAGTTATAATCTGGACTCTGATTTATTCCCTATGAGCAGTAACTGCATCTTCACAAACCTCAGATTTATATCTTAGTCAAAATTACAAACTCTTAGCCAGACAAATGGCTCTAACATTTTCATACTCCTCGTTGAAGTTTCCAGGTTACTGTGTTTGTAGCAGGTAAGCATAAAATTTAACCTTATAATGAACAAATAATCACATCATTTATTCTACATCCAAGTTCATTACTTATCCTACCTAGGAAATTTTGCTTGATGGCTAAAGCAATTTTGATGAAAATGGTAAAACCCAAATTGAAACATCCACTCAAGTTCTTTTTTTGAGAATTCCACAGTACAGAAATACAGCACAGTTTCAATTCTCAAACAGGTTTTCTTGTTGCCAAAGATGAATTATTTGATTTACAAACTAGAAAGAGCATTACAGTTTTTATAGAGGGCAAAGTTTGTAGATAAGAAATAACGTAACCTAGTATCAAAGCTGACTACAAAGTCTGCAAGTTTCCTTCTTTGAAGGAAATGCTGAATATAATTTTTTCCTTCTTTAAAGGGACTTGGAATCTGATTTTGCCTTCCTTTCTCACTAGCCCTGGGCAGACTGACTTTTTGAACAGATACAAGAGGAGCAGCCTGTATCTGTTCAGTCCCTGACTCGTGTGGGAGAGCAAGGTACCAGTTGGCTCAGTAGAAAGGTTTTCTTTATGTTTGTGCTGAAGGAACAAGATGTCACAAAAACAGCATCTCATTTCACTACTGACACAATTCATCTTTTAAGGCACTTGTAACTTGAGAGCCTGGTAAAGCTCCTAAGGCAAGTTCCACCTTAAAGACACGACAGCAGAATGTCACTGGATTCCAAACATCCTTTATTTTATATTTGCTGCCATAGAAAGTAATTGAACAGCACTGTCATCAGGGTCATTGGGAAAAAGGAACATGGATTTCTTCTCCTGAAGATGTGACGTACATTAAGAAGTCAGTCCAAAATCCTGGTGTTAAGTACAAAAAGCAACTGTTTGAATTATAAAATACTGTATATACAGATATAAAAATGTTTCAGAAAGTGTCCCACAAAGTTTCTAAACTTTCAAGATCAAATCTTCAGCAGGGTAAGTAGGCTGTTGTCTTCAAAGGTGAGCATCAGTTCGTTTGAGCACAATGTCTCAATCTTTATCTTCCTATATTACAGGTGATAGACTGATTTTCATCCCAGCCAGGGATAACATGGTAGTCCTAGTGATTAAGGTGTTTTTTCCTGGAGCTATTAATTTAACAAGCATACTCTCTATATATAAAAATGAAATTTCAAAGAAATTTATACAACAGCTAGACTTTATAAAAATATAGATCTATAATTTTACACCAGGACTTATCCAAGGTAAGTCTCCATTTTCTTATATCTTAACCATTAGAAATTAATTTTTATCCTTTGGAATCCTATCTATGGCTAGACTGTAAATTAAAGTAATGTGAAGTTATTAGGTGGTGAAGCGAGTTTCAAGAATCTCATTCTGCGGGGGTTTTTTGGGTCAAAATTAACAAACTACTGCATTCTGCAGTGCTCGTCTTGTGGTACTGGACATATTACACAGTACATATCTACTTATTCCAGAATCTTGACCTAATTCAGTGTTAAAACCCAAATAAAAACCATCTCCACTGTTCTTACTGTGGGGAAAAAAAAACCAAACCCAAATCCAAATAAATAAAATTAGACAGTATTTCTATTTTGCTGTACTGTGTTAACTCTTTACTTTGTAGTGGAGGCAATAATGAATAATACAAGCCATGTGATGAGGGATTGTAAAGTGAACACATACTGGAAAAAACAGACTTTTACAGCTGTGTGTATATACTTTTTTATATATATATATCTATATATATACATCTACATTGCAGTTATAACTGTCACCTCACAAAAGAGATTCAATGGACTGAACAATCTTCTATAAATTTCCCTAGCTGGAGTTCTTCAGGAAGAACTGGCTTTCAGCTTGGACAGCAGCATTTCATTCTTACGGCATTCCTGTGAACAGAAAGCAAACATAGGAGGAGGTAGTTGCTCTTTACTAGTTGTATCTCCACATCAACAAAACCAAACGCTTTTTTTTTGTTTTGAAGGATCTCCAAAATCCAAAGTAGTCTGGAGTGAGTGATGAGCTGAAGATAATTCCTATTCATCCACAATGTTATTCCAGTGATCATACTGATTAAACTTTGACATGCAAGCCAAAAGGAACACTGCTTGACCATTCATCTAAAGTTGTAACAAGTAGCTAAAGCAAATCCAGCAATGGAATAAAAATGGGTTAAAAATTAAATAAATAAACCTCCACCTAAGTTCTGCAACAAGGATGTAGAATTCTGTATGTCAAACAAGCAGCTGAACAGTCCCTGTCATTCTCCCAGAGCACATTGTCTGAAACAGGAAGAAACTGTCTCAGAACAAAGCAGGACAAATTACAGAAAGATGTTTTTCCTCCAACATCTGAAGCCAAATGACAATTTTGCCTGGCAGCACTCCTTTGTCATTCATTCTTATGGAGACAAGAATTAACAGAAGTACAAGATGATTAAAAGCTTGGGAAAGGCTGAATCAATGAAGTGTTAAACGGTGCTTTCACAGTCGTTAGACAACAAGGCTGGTTCCCAAAGGTATTTATAACTACCAAGAATCTGCACTTCCTCCTTATTCACACACATTCCCTCAACCCTCTTTGCTCCAGCAAAGAGACTGCTCATATGTCTTCAAGAAATTCCACTCAGAAACCTAAATATGCATCTTGCTTGATAACAAATTATCCTCCCTGTAACATGGAGGGATGCCAATCTAGCAGTGAAAGAGGAATTGCCAGAATCAAGGGTCCAAGATTCACATGGAGATAACCACCAGGATACATCATGACCATGGTGTGATAAGCATTGTGGCAGGAAATCTCGTGCATATATTAGTGCACAAATCAAGTCAAAATGGGTCACTGAACATTTGACAGTTTTACATCAGCAAAAGTGCTCTTACCTCTTTAAATTCTTTCACTGTTTTGAAGTAAAGCCTCTGTTTCTCTAGAAGCTCTAAGTATTCATCATTCAACTGGTCTCTTCGCATTTTGTTTTCTTGCTTCTTCTTTTCCATCTGTTGGTGTGTAGGAAGGATAAGAGATCATACATTGTGCATGGAATACACACACAGATATCCTGCATAAGGAACAACTATCTATAAAACACAGTGGCAGACAGATGCCTCGTAAATGATACCTAGAAACCTAGTGCTGAAGCCCCAGTAGCAGTGGCACTATAGATGGCATTTGGAAAGCAGCAAAATAGCCCCCAGTGTTAGCAGAACAGTTTTGTCTTCTCTGAACCTGTCCTCGCCCACAAACCCTTTCACTTGCTATGTGGACACAACACACTCAGCAGTAAAGCTCAGCCATTTCTCAACCAGGTCAAAAAACCCATCTAAGTGGATTCAACAGGTGAGGGCTGCAACTAAGACAAGGGATGGTTGGGACTCTGAGGTGCTCTGACCTTCTTCAGCAGCAGAGAGCGGCTCCCATGAGCTCCAGCTGCCTGAGGTGCAGCTCTGACTGCACCCACACAATCCAGGTGGAGGACCTCTCCCTGAGTTCAGTGACATTCAGCTGACTCAAGCATTTAAATCACTACACTGACAATAACCAAGTTATGGGGTATAAGCTTCCTGTCAGGTGTTATAACACCTCTGTTCTACTCTGTTCATTAACATTTAGTGGTGAGAAGTTTCTTATCAATGTGAAAAGAGATAATACTTGTTAGCTGCTTGCTTTATTTGCACCTCACATAATGGATCTCTTCACACACAGTTA